TTTCACTTTAGTGTCTGAGTCTTCAGATTCTTAGAATTGTACCCTTTACTCAGAGAAAGTACTTATCTGCACAGTCGCTACTGATTTCTGTATAAAGATATGCACTCTTACAAAAGCTTTAACAGAATAGTTAAGCCCTTCTCACAGCATCTCTGACTTTAATACGCAAAAGCTAAGCACTCACTTGAGACGTTGTCATCATCATCCAAATCGTCGTGGGGAGGCTGCTCAGGCATCATTACCCCTCCTTCCGAGAGGGCAGGTGGGTCATCAAATATACCTCCTTCGTTGTTGCTGAGAAGCTTGTCATCTGAAATACCCACTCAAAACGTTAGGGCTGGAGGCACACGTGCTGTGTCACAAAATGTAGAAACAGCGTAATGCTATAACTACTGCACTATGAAAAGAACACAGACCTTTTTTCTGCAAGTGAACATCAACCCAAAGCTAAGGAACTCATGGACTTCAAGGTATCTACCTCCAGTAAGTCACCCATTTTTTCTAACCCACGAAGAGAAGTATTAAGTTAGCAATTAGAAATGAACATGCTGCAATTTTCTTAAAACGAAACATTAGATAAAAGTATTTTTTAATGTCTTCAGACTAATGATGCAGCCTTTCAAAAACCCAGAGTTACACTAAACATTGTACAGGCTCTGCATCAAAACCTGAAACAGGGTTGGAAACTTGAAGCCATGGAGATTTAGGACAAAGATCACGGGGGCTCTCTAAGGCAACTGATCAAATATTGTGGGACAAGAAGCAGACATAATTAAAATATCTGCTGTAATGTCAATAAAATTTTTGAAGCGCAGGTTGCAACTTAGTTTTTCAACCGAAGTTCTCTTCATCAAGCAACTCAATTAAAACCACTACTGGCACCTGCATATCAGCACACAGCTTCAAAGAGTTGGATCCTGCAAAGGATTTCTGTAACTGGAGCACAAATTTTCTGCCTCCCTGCTTCAGCCCCAAATGCCCCTTGAAAAGCTGCTCCTGAGGGACACGGAACCCTGAGGAACACCACCGGGGAGCGGGGGGGAGAGTCTGAGGTCTGTAACAGGATAGTATGAATTGGTAAAAATCTCATCCACAAGCCTCCCCCGTGGAAATGATCCACGGGGTACAAGTCAAATAGAACTGCCATCCATAGCTTCCCCTCCTAGAGAATTCAAATTTATTTCCATTTTATTCGTCAGAATCCTATTTAATTTTTCAAATAGGCAGTTACAGAATCCTCTATACTTCAAATTACTGTACTACTAAACTCTACATGTTTGACTATACCACAATGCCTAGTTGTGACATTGTTACAATATAATTATATGGGACACACGCTACTACTTCTTTGCATTGATTCATTTTTATATCTTCCCAAACACAAGGGTTATAGTTACTAAACTGCTCTTGTTGACAACATAGTAAAACCACTAGTACTATAATGCTTTGCAAACTGTTTATGCTGTTCTGTATGTTTAATACTACTATTACTTACTTCGGAGAAAAACTATATAAAAAATAGGCAGTTACCATTCCCAGAACTGGGCCAATAAGTAATACTAAGATCTAGATCACATTTCTCCTTCAAGGGCTCACCCATGTAAAGTTACATGCCAGAAACTGCGTGGGACAAAATATGAGTTGTCCACATACCCAGGATTCCACCGTCATTCCCATCTCCAAAATTGTCGTCCTTGTACTGGTCTTCATACTCCAAGTGATTAGATTTCTCATTAAGATGACTGGTGCTCTGTTCAGGCTCCAGGAGAAGGTTGGAAGCACTAGTGCTATCCAGCATGTCATCAGGAAATGCACTGTCTTCTCTCATCATTTCACGGTCATCCATTCCAAAGTCTCCTTTCAGAAGATCAGAATTAGAGAAATAATCCCATGCCATGATAGTTATAAATTACACAGTGTTAATTAGTCCTACTGTTACTGAACTTCACAAATGCGCTTACACATAGGGGCTGCAAGTGGTCAATAGACAATTTTTTCTTCAGAATTTGCTTGGATCCAATGTACTGCTGAATTCAGGGAATAGATTTTGGTGGTTCCACCCCCCCAAAAAAACCACTCCTGAAGGTTGAGGGACTATCAAAAATGGTGTGGGATGAGGCACAGGAAGCTGCAGCAGGAAGGAGGGGAAACAGCAGACCACCCCCCCCCAATACAATTTCTTGTTCCAGCTCTTGGTCTGCTTATTCTTCCTTCCCAATGCAGCCCTACACATGGTCTTCTATGCCATTTCTGTCCAAAGTTTGTCTTTTCTGAGAGATCCAAGTTAATGGCATCTTATTCCACCAAACATCCCAAAACCACCTGGTAATCATCTACTCAAGGCATTCCATTTCACGATTTCAAATCAGTGTACTAAAATTAAAATACTGTCTGCATGTGGTGAAGTATCATGTATATGCACAGATTATTTATATAGAGACCCCATTCATAACCCCTTATGCTACAGCTTTGTAGTTTAAAAGCTAAATATTGTTACAACAAGGTTATCTATAAACACACCACAAATGTAATGTTAGTGCACAGCAGTTACTACAAATATATTAGTCAACGAATTAGTAATTGGACTTTACCAAAGTCATTGTCCTGAAGGATACTAATGTTGCCCACTTCTTCTCGCATGGTAATTTCTTCCACTCTGCTTTGGTTCAAACTGAATTGCTGTGCCACATCAATATCGCTTTGAAAGACCACAAGCACAGTTTAAGACAGGCCTTTAATATATACAAATTTACAAGTATTCCAAGCATTATTCGTGCTTGGTTATAGTCTACCAGAATACTGTCCAGTTCCCTCCAGATATAGCTATTCATTTGCAGTTGCAACTGCCTTACTGTTCTGAAGTGTTTATGTTCAAATGTACACTGGATCCTCAAAAGTAAGATTGAAACAGAATGCTGTAATAGATTTATTTTGAAATCAGCAAATAGAACACAGAATTTTATGCACTGCCTTATTCACAGCACCTCATGTTTCGCTATTCAACTGTAAAACACAGAATCAAAGTAAACACATGAACAGTGGGTTCACAGTGGATTAATCACACAGATCCACTCTACTAGTGGTGGTGCCTTACAAGCAGCCTTCCAGAAGAAAAGGAACTCCGATAGCAGAACAGATCTGCAGGACTCAACCCAATTTTAAGAATATGACAATTATGACCCATCATCCTCAAAACAAGAGGCTTAGAGGCCTTGCAACTTATGGGCTTCAAGGACTCAAAGAGGAGATCTTAACAGCCTTCTACCCAATGCAGGGACCATTATTTTGCTAGGACTTCTCACAGCATAGAAATTGGTATTTATTTTGAAATCAGCAAATAGAACACAGAATTTTATGCACTGCCTTATTCACAGCACCTCATGTTTCGCTATTCAACTGTAAAACACAGAATCAAAGTAAACACATGAACAGTGGGCTCACAGTGGATTAATCACACAGATCCATTCTACTAGTGGTGGTGCCTTATAAGCAGCCTTCCAGAAGAAAAGGAACTCTGATAGCAGAACAGATCTGCAGGACTCAACCCAATTTTAAGAATATGACAATTATGACCCATCATCCTCAAAACAAGAGGCTTAGAGGCCTTGCAACTTATGGGTTTCAAGGACTCAAAGAGGAGATCTTAACAGCCTTCTACCCAATGCAGGGACCATTATTTTGCTAGGACTTCTCACAGCATAGAAATTGGTAGATAACAGCACGTATTTACTACTGAGTACGCTCCAGAGTAACATTTTTAGTAAGTGATTAAAAGACAAAGCAGCTTACTCTAAGTCTGGTAAAGGCTGGTCAAAATCATGAAACTCTTCAGGTAAGGTGATAGCATTGTAGGCAGCTTCCCTGTTTTCCTCAGGCAAATCAACCACACCTGAAGACAGAAGGGTTAAATGGTCACAAGAGAACATTTTCGAAGGGAAAAAATTACAAACCTTCTCATTGTCCTGTGAAAACCGACCATCATTATGGCATCAGCTTTTATACACATGAGATTCATTCATCAGATGCATGAATCCAGATTTTTTCCCCTAATATTATATTTACAATACAGTCTAATACAGGTGCTCCCAGTTATTTCCCATCCAAGAGAAGAGTCATGTTCATGCTGGATTCACAATAAGCCATGATGCCACATTAAATACTTGCAGATCTTTCACTGGTTGCATGAACCTCATTTTGCGTTGAAACACCCAAAACTGCCCCTGAATATTTTCTGTGTCGGATTACCTTTGCACCTAACCACCCCCAATTTTTTTGCTGTCATAAAGTCACAGCCAACTTATGTTGAGCCTATAGGGTTTTTAAGGCAAAAGACATTCGGAGTTGGTTTCTCATATCTTGCCTCTGCATAGCCACCCTGGTATTCCTTGGTGATCTCCCTTCCAAATACTGAAGAAGAGTTGGATTTATACCCCGCCCTTCACTCGGAGTCTCAGAGCGGCTTACAATCACCTTCCCTTCCTCTCCCCACAACAGACACCCTGTGAGAGGGGGGGCTGAGAGAGCTCTAAGAGAACTGCTCTGAGATAACTGTAACGTACCCAAGGTCACCCTGCTGACTGCATGTGGAGAAGTGGGGAATCAAACACAGTTCTCCAGTTTAGAGTCCACCACTCTTAACCACTACACCAAACTGGCTCTCAGGGCTGACACTGCTTAGCTTCCGAGAGGTGAAAAGATCAGGCTAGCCTGGGCTATCCAAGTCAAGGCCACCCCACCTCCCCAACAATATATTAAAATTCAAGAGCTACTATTAAGAGCAGTATTATAAGTTAATAATCAATGGGAAAGCAGTTTGCAGTTGAACCTGTGCATCTTTACTTACAAGTAAGTCCCACCGAATAAAGTGGAACTTTCAACTAAGTTTCGTTATTACTTGTGAGCTGTCTTCTTGAGCTGTCTTGAGCAGGTCTCCGGAGAGGCAGCATATACATTTTTGACTATATAAAATAATTGTGATGTATGATATACAGTGCAATAGCATTAAATGTGCAAAAGTACCTGGACGGAAAGCCATCTTGATCTTAATGAATGCCTCATTACAATCTGCAAGGAGGTATTTGGCTTTCCTGTGGTAGATTCTAACAACGCCCAGCAAAAGGTGTCCTGAAGTTCGAAGAGCCATCTTGACCTGAAAATGTATTTATAATTAATTGCCATCAACCATGTTACACTTTGAAACAATTTCTTTGGATGGAATGTAACTCGACTACACAAATCAGAAGTCATTCTATACAGCCACCCTTTTGGTAACTGTATAGTAACTGTATTGGTAACAGCAACGTATTGTTACTTGCACTCAAAAAACTTGTCCCATATTGCTGGTTTGTAACATAGCCAAATTTCTTCACCAGTATTTATTACGAACTTGTAAACAACAATTTTCCTAAAGCAAATAAAAATTATTTCCAGGAAAACAGGTTAGAAACTTGGTCTCAAACGAATGAGAATGTATTCTTACCCCCACCCCAGCAACAGATACACCACATATCACTTCTGTTTATACAAATGGGCAAGAGAGGAGGAGTAGCCTTTTGACTTGCCTTGCAGGAATCAGTAGTACTTTTATTATTCCTTGAAAGTAAGAATTCTGGACTGAAAGGCCAATCAAAACACTTCTGAAGAGCTTTCCACATGAGACTCAGTATTCAGATCAGAACAGAATAATGAAAGTTATTCACTTAAGAACGCCTGTTCCTACTGTTTCTAGGCACACATTTTATCAGGAGAAAGACACAACTCCAGTGCTCATTAGAGCCAAACACCCATTTTGTAAAAGGCAGTATTTTAATTGTTAAGGCTTCAAATGTAAAGCAAGCAGTGCAATAATGTCAAAAGGATGAACACTACCCAATGCAGAGTCAAAAAGCACACATGAACTAAAGAGTCTGATCACAGATTGGTTTCAGTTGCCCAGTTCAGCACATAGGAAGTCTAAAAGAGCTACTAGCCATGAAAGCTAAACACAAAGTCTATGTGCTGCTTGCGTCTGAATACCACAACAGGGGACAACCAGCTCCTTAATTCTCCACTAGGGAGACCTCAAAACCACCTGGCTGACTGAGGCTGGAAACAAAATGCAGTTAGATGGACCTTCATCTCATTTGGCAAAGCAATTCTTATGCTAAGCACAATGATGCAGCACCTGTGTGCCTATGGGCTTTTAGATCAACATTTCCTATACCACAAGAGGAATGTAGAAGCATATAATCTTTAAACGCAAAAGCAATTATAAATATAGTACCTTTGGTGAGATGATGCTCTCCACACTGCTTTCCAAATTGCACTCAAACACATGGGCTTTGGTTAGCTTCTTATCCCAATGGGCCGCCAGCCAGATTTTGGCTAGCGGCCCTCGCTTGCTCAGGACAAAGTGAGCGTAGAACATTGTGCCAACTGTCTATGGAAAACCTGTAAAAATAAAATTATATTGTATGCTGGGTGATAAAGTTGTGATTTTTGCAAATTGTATGAGTACAGATAATGCTCTTTTTTCTACCAGTAAGAGAATAGTTTGTTTTCCAGGGTAAGAACCAATTCACATACAGTAAGACTTTCAAAAATTCTGTTTTCTAATAAACGATGTGAAGACTGATACAAACAGGAATGTCAGGCAGCAGACTGAATGAAGCACTATTCTTACTGCAGAGTTGCATTCTGTAGAGCTGCACACTCCTGGCAAGAGCTAGCATTGTATAGAGGTTAGAATATGTTGGACTATGATCTAGGAGACCTGGGTTCAAATCCCCACTCTGCCATGGAAGCTCATTGGGCCAGTCACTGTATCTTGTCTATCTAACCTACTTCACAGGGTTGTTGTGAAGATAAAAACAGATAGAAGGGAAAATGACATAAGTTGTTTTGGATCCCCAATGAGAAGAAAAGCTGGGTATAAATTTATAAATAAACACTCATCACTCATAAATTAGCTCCAAGAAACTATGGTAAACGACTAAACATGTAGATTCTTTCCCTTGTATGGAAAAAGCGGATTGCAGAATTTTGTGCTGCTCCACCAATTTACATTGTTCTTTTTGCCTGTTTTTAAACAGTGCCTTAGGCCTGATTTAATTGTAACATGGCAAAAGCATCCATTAATCATAATGCAATTTCACACTGATGCACCTTCTCTTATAAATAAACGGGGTTGTTAGCACAAAGACTGGGTAGCCTGAGTGGGTACTGTTCTGGCATGTTAGGCAAACACATATAGTAACCCAAGGTAAACAACACCCTAAACTAAAGTCTCATGGTTAAGGGTTTTTGCCTTCCCAGTATCACATTTAAACCTAACAAAATACATGAAGATTTCTCTCCTCTTAGTCTTCAGGTACAACTGCTCAGTCAACCCACAACATACCAACCTTTTGGATGCTACGTACAATATAAAATACATGACAGTATGCAAAAAACAAACAAACAAAAAAGATAAGGAATATTCTAAAACAAATTACAAGAACGCCCACTTGAAACCCCAGGTGCTGATGGCCCACTGGATAAAATGGGAACCAGGAATGCTGACTGACTTGACCTACTGAAATACACTGAAGTACTGCTAAATTGGAAATAAATAAGGAACAGATTAAGAGAACTAATGAAAAGAGTTAGACAGGCTGAGGGATCAGAACAACAGTCTCAGCAATTGGAGCTTACAGCGCAGACATGGCTGACCACCTGGATCAACCATGAGCTTTCGGGGAGGGCGGGATATAAATCCAAAAATGAACAAATTAAAAGAGTAGAGTGATAGACCAGGGAGAGGAATGAGTGCTCTAGATCTGAAACAATATTCCTTGGAACAGAATGACAGCTCCAAGAAAGGAATGAGTCCCCAGGAGTAGAATGTGTACTCTAGATTTCATTCTATAAAGTAAGTAAAGAGACACTAAAGTAGAATGACAACCCCAGGACTAGAATGGCAGTCCTTGGCCCTAGAACCGCAGCCCCAAGAGTGGAATGATGGACCACAGAACTAGAATGAATGTGCTACAACTGGAATGATGGTCCTGGAGTCTGGAAAGACAGTGCCAGGAGTGCAACTTTACACTTACAGGAAGGACTCATTAACGAAACTTTACCAAGCAATATTTTCTCTACGAGCACTTTTTGGTATCAACTGTATC